ACTATCCACACCAAGGCTTCCTTAACCAGCTACTATCCTGCCTTTTACCTCAGTGGCCTGGGTGTTTGAAAATTTCCATCTGCACAGGGCCAAATAAGCATGAAGTGGGTAAGCAGAGAAAAAGTTTTCCTACTTTGCTTTCCTAAGAGCAAAACACTACAGAGGAAAGCCAGGAAAGCCAGGAATTATACTTCCCCATACCCTCTACCCATCTAACAAGTAAAATAATACAGATACCTCAGATATCTATTTCCCTAAGCGTCTATAGAGATACTTACTCAGTGCTAGCTCCATTTGGCTCATCACCATCAGAGGAAGAGGACTGGGAAGAGTCTGGTCCCAAAGGAGGTGATGCTTTAGAAGGCAGGTAATTGGGAAACTGGGATGCAGAAGAGTCATAAGAGACAGCCCAATTGGCAAAGGGGCTGTTCTGCAGCATGGGATCCTCAGAAAAAGCATGGGATTCCCCCAAAGTATGGGAGGAGAAGAGAAGAGATGAGTTGGGTCCCACTGGGAATGGTGATGGATATTTCACTTTCTGGGGCACTTGGTGAGAGAACTAAAGGATAAAACAGACGGAAAAGCTATTTAACATTTTACAAGGCTCCAAGATGGCTCCCTCTGAAGTTGTGAGTGACACAGTGGATGTTGCCAGTAGCAGAGATTGTTGAGATACAAAGTACCTAGTGAGAATAATGAGAAATGATTCTAACAGTGACGTATGAACAGAAGGCTCCACAGGCAGGACAATGAACAGTTGAGGACTCCTAGAACTATTCTCTGATATTAGCTAATCCACTTTCACAACGACTAGTGGTACTGATTTGGATACTTTTTTTGCATAGTCTTCCAGCCTTAAGTTGAGAAGGTAATATAGGTATATATGGCCTTGAAGTCTAGTAACACTGAATTACCCTAACTCCTCAGATTATAAAAATCAGGAAGCAACCTGAGTCTAATGCTAATAAATGGTCTCAGGCTAAAGGATGCTTACCATTGGCTTTCCAGTAGAAATGGCGCCCACCTGATTTTGTGGAGGGGGAGGATTGCCAAGCCTATTATTCCGAAAACCTGAAGCCAAGAGAAACATATATACTTCAATCAATTCCAATAATTCTTCAGTCAATTCTAATAATTCTACCATGTTATATTCTGCTCACCCTATATCACCTGAAAAATTGTTATTAATAAGTTATAATTTATTGAACAGCTACTATGCACCATGCTGCAAAGCTGACATAAATTACTTCATCTGGTAAGAATCTTATAAAGTAGGTATCATGAGCCACATTTCATACAAATGTGACTTGCCAAGGTTCATTTGCTAGTAATTAGCAGAGATGGAATTCCAACTTAGGCCAGATCCCAAAGACAGGGCTATTTTACATATACCAGGCCAGAATGGGGGTTGGCATCAGAAGAAGCTCAAGCTAAGGAAACGGCATTGCACCCCATCTATAAATTTGAGAAAGCAGGCCCCCCACTTTTTTTTTTTAAGACGGAGCTTCACTCTTGTTGCCCAGGCTGGAGTGCAATGGCATGATCTCAGTTCAGTGCAACCTCCGCCTCCTGGGTTCAAGGGATTCTCCTGCCTCAGCCTCCCGAGTAGCTGGGATTATAGGCACCTGCCGCCATGCTTGGCTAATTTTTGGTATTTTTAGTAGAGACAGGGTCTCCCCATGTTGGCCAGGCTGGACATGAACTCCTGACCTTAGGTGATCCACCCACCTTGGCCTCCCAAAGTGCCAGGATTACAGGTGTGAGCCACCACACCTGGCCAGGGCCCTTCTTATGTTATGTCTCTTATGACATAGAAATCAAAAGGAGAAAGCCTACCAAACAGGGATAAGGGATGACTTGTAGGATGATACAACACCAGTGAGTGATTCCACTCTGGCTCTGGAGTTCCTGAGAAACCAACTCAGTTTCCCCTATGAATAGAGCAGCTTAGGGTCAGATGGAAGCCTTACCTAGAAAGGAGGGACCCACTGGCAGTGAAGAGAGTTTGGTTGTGACTGAATAGTACTCAACTGCTTTCTTGAATCGCTCTATTTTATCTTCTGTCCTGGACTGGATGTTGGAACATCAGATTTTCAGAAAAAGAAACAACATGAGAGTGTTTTTTTAATACAATTTATAATTTGGGAGTTAAAATAATGATCAGAAATCAAATATTTAAAGAAACCTAAGACAGCAAATTTTTGCTTGGCAGAAAAGATTAGGCAGGGAGAAAGCATTATGAAACATAAAATATGGAATACTTAAAAAAAGCTTACTTATGTTTTGTGCTATTCTAAAATGACTACATGATTATTACAAAAAATACATTAGGGTAAGAGGGAAAAATCACATAGTAGGACCATCCAAAGATATTTTGGTATCTTCCCTTACAGTTTTAATTCTATTATTTTATTATTATCATTATTATTATTTTTTGAGACTGAGTCTCACTCTGTCACCCAGGCTGGAGTTCAATGGTGCCATCTTGGCTCACTGCAACCTCCACCTCCCGGGTTCAAGTGATTCTCCTGCCTCAGCCTCCCACGTAGCTGGGATTACAGTGTGTGCCACCACTCCCGGCTGTTTTGTATTTTTAGTAAAGATAGGGTTTCACTACATTGGCCAGGCTGGTCCTTTAACTCCTGACCTCAGGTGATCCACCCGCCTTGGCTTCCCAAAGTGCTGGGATTACAGGCATGAGCCACCGTGCCCAGCCAATCTTTTTATTTTTGCTCAGGCTGGTTTCAAACTCTCGGCTTCAAGCAATCCTCCCACCTCAGCTTCCCAAAGTCCTGGGATAACAGGCATAAACCACTGTGCCTGGCTTACAATATTATTTTATATAATTTTTTTTGTTGAGGTATAGCTGGTCTATTCTATACAATTTTGTATCTTGCTTTTATTATAATCATCATCTAATCTAAGTAATTTTGAATGGCTGCATATTTTGTCATTATGAATGTGTCATAAATTATGTAACCTCTTCCCTAATATCCAACAGTTAGGTAGTTTTTCACATTTGGCTTTTATAAGATATACAGCAAAGAGTATATATTGTCTATATAATTTTTTTTCTCGATTTCAGATTATGCTCTTAGGAAAACATCCTAAAAATAAAATTGATTCAAAAGTTATGAACATTAAAACCAAAGGCACTTAAACATATATAAAACCACAATATGACACCACTACATATCCACCAGAATGGCTAAAATAAAGGACTATCAATATCAAGCACTGGCAACGATATGAAATAAATGAACTCCAGTACACTGATGGTGGGAGCATACACTGGTACAGTTTGGAAAACAATTTGGCAGTTTCTAATACAATTAAATTATACTTACCATATGATACAGCAATCCTACTTCTAAGTATTTATCCAAGAGAAACTAGTACGTATATCCACCAAAAGACATGAACAAGAATGTTAACTGCTTTATTCATAATAGCCCCAAACTGGAAACAACTCTGTATGTATATCAATAGAAGAATAAATAAATTGTGGTATATTCATACAATGGAATACTATACAGTAATAAAAAGAACAAAGTATTGATATACACAATAATATGTGTAAGTCTCAAAGATATTATACTGACTGAAGAAGGGAGACACAAAAGAGTACATATCAGCTGGGTGTGGTGGCTCACACCTGTAATCCCAGTACTTTGGGAGGCTGAGGCAGGCAGATCACTTCCACCCAGGATTTCAGACCAGCTTGGGTAACATGGCAGAACCCCATCTCTACAAAAAACACAAAAATTAGCTGGGTGTGGTGGCGTGTGCCTGTAGTTCCAGGTACTTGGGAGGCTGAGGTGGGAGGACTGCTTGAGCCTGGGAGGTCAAGGCTGCAGTGAAATTGTGCCACCGCACTCCAGCCTGGGCAATAGAGTGAAACAAGAAAGAAAAAGAAAGGAAAGGAATGGAACGGAACGGAAAGGAAAAAGGAAAGGAAGAGAAGGAAGGAAAAGAAGAGAAGGAAGGGAAGGAGGGAAGGAAAGAAAGAGGGAGGGAGGGAGGGAAGGAAGGAAGGAAGGAAGGAAGGAAGGAAGGAAGGAAGGACAAGCAAAGAAAAAAAAAGGAGTACATATAAAGTTCAGGTAAAGGAGGGCCGGGCACAGTGGCTCACACCTGTAATGTCAGCACTCTGGGAGGCTCAGGCGGGGCTCACCTGAGGCCAGAAGTTCAAGACCAGCCTGGCCAACATGGTGGAACTCTGTCTCTACTAAAAATACAAAAATTAGCTAGGCATAGTGGCACATGTCTATAATCGCAGCTACTTGGGAGACTGAAGCAGGAGAATTGCTTGAACCTGGGTGGCAGAGGTTGCAGTGAGCCGAGATCACACCATTGCATTCCAGCCTGGGCAACAAGAGCGACACTC